GAAGGACAAATATAGTGATATAAATGTTGAAATTTGACGACTAAATCCGGAAGAGGCGCAGCTAGGTGGTGGATTTAGAGTTGATGCTGAGCGTACGGATAATGTGGAGCGGCTTCTTCAGTTGTGAGCAGATCGTCGTCTGTTCGTGATCAGTTCGAACTTTTAGCACAAATGCTCACACTGAGTTACTTGGAGGCCACCTACCACAAAACATTCATGGACTCAGTTGGACTATGTGGCTATCAGTTACCGATGAAGATCCTCTTTTAAAGATTAACATTCCTTCTGAGATATGCAACTTGACTCTGATTACGCCACCATGCCGGCCCGGTCAGCACTTTGCTTTCCGCCAGTATTACGATTTCCAACTGAGAATAACCCCGTTCATCAAACTCGATAAGTTTCAGTAGCTGAAGAATATTTGGTTGACCTGACTAGAAACCTACTGGAAACGCATGTGTATGACGAAGAGAGCTTGAAGGTTAAAGAAGCGAGTTGAAAAAGTAATGAATGAATGAATGAATGAATGAATGAATGAATGAATGAATGAATGAATGAATGAATGAATGAATGAATGAATGAATGAATGAATGAATGAATGAATGAATGAATGAATGAATGAATGAATGAATGAATGAATGAATGAATGAATGAATGAATGAATGAATGAATGAATGAATGAATGAATGAATGAATGAATGAATGAATGAATGAATGAATGAATGAATGAATGAATGAATGAATGAATGATATCAGCAACTAGCGACTGTGATGGCGCACGAAAATCCCTCAAACAGGCTTACTCAGGCGCTTGAAGAATGACGAAATGCTGGTGGATTTCGAAGGCCCAGGAGTTGCAGAAGGCTTTAGCTGCAGGAACAGTCACGCTCCCTTTCAGCTGATTCTATCAACCGATTAAAAGAAGGCAGATGTAAATGAAACAATATGCAAAAAAGACGGAACGGCGATTCACTTCCTCAATCGTTGTCTTGAGTGGTAGGATGAGCTTTTCAAAGAACAGTTCAGCTGATCTCCAACACCGCCGCTAAAAGAACCCAGAAGGTCCGAATGGAACATTGACACCAACCCGCCATCAGCAATCCAGCGTGAGATATCAATCCTGAAGTGTGATAATGCGCCTAGCCCGAACATTCTGCACCTCTTCAAAGACGCCCTTCAAAGAAGGCGCCGACTTCCTAGTGGACAGTCTGAAAACCATACTGCAGACGCTTTGGAGCGAAAACAGAATACCAGCCGAATGGAGCTCCTCGATCGTCGTCAAAAAGGGTGCAAGAACGTCATGTGAAAGGCATCGTGGTATCAGATTGGTATCATCATCATCAGTGTCAGCTTTAAGAACCGCGTACTTGTCACACAGTTGTGGCTACCACAATTTCACCCACTGATGATTTGGAGAGGTTGCGTGGGGGGCTGATAAATTGGTGCGTAAATACTGGTTTGTCAGTGAACTTATTAGTGGAGGGTTGAGAAGAGAGCTATGCATTGTAGACAAAAGCTTGGATGCACGAGCGCCATAGATGGCGCGACTGGGAGATGTCTGACAATGTCTCCAACCCTCAATGTGTCCCGCCTCGGGTTCCCCAGCCAAGGAGACGGCAAGAACATGGTGTTTCGCATCCTGCTCTGTGGCAATGTGTCCCGCCTCGGGTTCCCCAGCCAAGGAGACGGCAAGAACATGGTGTTTCGCATCCAAGGTGCTCTGTGGCATTATTTTGTGCAGGCTGGTGGATTGTGGTGAGAGACCGGCTTTTTTAGAATCAAGCTGGGTTTTGTTCTAGTCGAGGATACATAGACCATGTCTTTACCTTGAGACAAATACCTCAACAGCGCCACTCTTTCAAACGTCCCACGTTGTTCGTTTTTCTGGATTGGAAAGCTGCTTTAGATCGTTGGGAACTTTGGCAGGGTCTGGCGATCAAAGGTATATTCCAAATTTGTATCCCTTATAAGGACAGTGTATGAGAACTTCTGTGGACGCATAGGAGTATACAGGAAATTTCCGCCTGGGTTCATCGTGGTCCAGTGGTGTAAAACATGGCTGTTCTCTCTCCTTTCTTCTTCAAGTTTGTTATTGATGTGCTGCTTGAAGTTCTTCTCCCTACCTTTGAAACATCGGGAGTTGAAATGCTCTCGGGACGTTCGCTCACAGATATCGAGATGGGCGAGATAGCTCATTGGTTAGAGCGCGAATTCACTGACCGGAAGGTCCGTGGTTCGAACCCGACTTCTGCGTCTCGACCTCCCCTGTCTAGGTTTGGGTAATCTGGCAGTATCCCAGCTCTCGTGCTTCCTTGGGGTGGTTTGACAGCTAGACATCGAAATAGTGTTATAGCTGAACGCTTATCTTCGTTTTTTAAAAAATCTGATTGAGTATGTAGACGATATTGTTGTCCTGGGTTCAGATCCTTGCCAAATGCAGTTGACTTTAAATAGGCTAAATAACTCTACCTCGCGGTTTGGGATGCTCTTCACACCTGTGCGGTGTAAAGTGCTTGTACAAGAGTTTACACTGCGTCGGTGCGATTCATACTGCTTTACGGATCAGAGAGGTTGCCTCTAAGCGCAGAGGACATATGAAGGATGTCAATGTTTGACCATCGATGTCTCCGAAGCGTTGCTCAGGTCTGGTGGGAACATTGGATTGGCAATACTGAGGTACTCCAGATAACCTTAGGGAAAAGGAACTCTCCCACTATAGGTTACGCTGGTTAGGATAGGTACTCCGTGTTATGTCCCCTTGGCAGTCAGACACGTTAGGTCACCGGAAATGGAGATGACAAACAATTTCGAGGAAGTTATACTGCAAACAAGTGGATCGTTCCTTGGATTTGGATTCAACTGAACCAGAATACAAAAAGAGCTAACAGTCCAATAGGATGTCAGTGAAAAGCTGAAATGTAGAAACAAGGTTTTAGTATACAAGACATATTGTTAGTCAGATGGATTTGTTCGTTTGGAGGTAGTCCTCCTAACACTCAGTATGCCAGAAGACCGTTTGCTTTGCAGAGCTTTTTTCGCCCAGCCCTGTGCTGAGTGGAAACGAACGAGAGGTGGACAGTGTATGACCCGGCCACAAAGTACAAAAACACTAACCAGTGAACTTATTAGGGTCGGTAACTGCTTCCCTAGATGGGGACCGCGGGACCCATCTCACCAATGGTTGATGATACTGGCAGTATTGACCCAGTCGCGCAGTCAGTGGCGCTCGGGCATCAAAGTAATCGTCTTCAGTGCATAGCTACCCGATTTCCGAACTAACTGAACATGCTGTCGCCTCTAAGGCTTGGCTGTACGTCCCACACTGTCCCGTTTTCTGGGGATCGAAACGGTAGCAGCTGGAACCAATGTGCTTATTGTACACAGCTGGTTGCTGACAAATTGATTTACTAAATCGGAGTTAGTCATCCAACTTGGGCAGTCAGTCATATCACCCGTCAGGATTACTATATACGCCCTTATTGCTGACCGAAGCAGTCGTGATAGATTTAGATAAAGTCTTCCTTCTCAATTTCAGAACTGCAGTCTGTTGGGGCGTATGCTGATACGGCAAATGAAGACCGTTTACCGCACCGACCTATATTGATCTTAATTGAGGCGGACAGCGGCGCGAAGCAAAGACGACTTTAGTGGGACTCAATCCCGTAAGGTGCTTTCGGCCTTGGGGCTGAAAGCCATAGATACCACGAGCCATTTTTTCAGGATCATCGAATACCGAAGATCGAAATGTGGAATATCTGAGCTCGTTCTAAGCGGCTTGAGGTACTCAACCGAGTTGAGATATTATATGCGTGTTTGAATCAGAAAAGGTGACAAATGCCAGGTGGACTCATCGAAAATCTCAGCGCTTGACCATCAGAAACTACGCAACTCTGGTGGGAACATCTGGTCAGTATCGCTGGGGTACGCCGATTGATTTTTGGAGGAAGTGAGTCACATGGTAGAAGATTCTCCTCAAGTTAAGCTGGTTTGGTTACGTGTTTCGCATCGTAGTGGATTAACTTCCTGAAATAACCGGGGCGAGATGGCTCAAGTGGTTAGAGCGCGAACTTACTGACCGGAACGTCCGTAGTTCGAACTCAGCCTCTGCCTCTCGACTTCCCATGTCCAGGCTTGGGCAACCTGGCAGAATCCTAGCCCTCGTTCTTCCTCCGGGTGGCATGGCAGTTAAGCAACGAAAGGGAGCTACAGCCGAACAACAACCCTCTTCATACAGAAGGTCGTAAGGAGCCAAGAGAAGTTAAGTCATGACTTGGTAGTTTGAAGATTTACCGATGGCTTCGAAAGTTCTTTTGGGACTTTATCCCGCAAGTGAAGGCAATCCATACGGGGGAACTGAGAAGCTGCTTCACCTTTGTTGGGATTCGTCAGCGATACCCATCTCACCAATCTTCAGAGTGATTCCAACCCGCCCCCTCCCATTTACGATTTAAAACTACCGGTCATCATAGTCATCATCAAAGACAGCAGCACCAGTGTTGGCACTGATGATTCACTGCTGTACATGGGTATACGGGATCTGGGATACTGCCAGGGCGCCCGCACCTAGACAAGAGGACGATTAGGGCCCTGAGCCAAAGTCTTTGGCTCAAAAGCCTAACCTTCAGGCAGCAGTGTTGGGCTGGAAATGCAAATGCATTACCATTTTTACGGAACACGTCGCCATACATGTTCTAACCTCCAACCCGGAGGGCCAGGAGACTGTGTTCGTCAGACCTCTACCCATGGACCAACCTGGTATGAGAGACTCTGTGAGCATCGTGCGGACACTCCCCCGTATAGCTCAAAGGGTTGCCGAGATACACAAACCGTCACACTACGATAAGGTCCAGCCTCTTCGTAACGACCAGTCAAAACCAACCCGTTCATGGTTTAAAGCGAGTGGCGGCAATCATAATGCTCTTCCCGTTTTTGAATGGTCTATTATTTTACCTCCACGGATGATGCCGCATACAATCTCATGCAACGTTTTCTCACTTCAGGTATAAAAATCCCTCAGATGTCTCGATTACACATGCATTATTCATTTCAATAAAGCACAGTAAGTTTGTATTTTGCTTGCAGGTTCTTTGCATTTTGTAATTATTCCCAACTAGGCATTGAATATTCATCTCAGTTGATTGTTTTTCTAGTCTGAATGTCTGGAACCAAAAGCCATCAGAATGAATCTTAACTGTTGCTGCAGCAGCATTCTTTTGTTATCACATACATATATGCTTTTAAGCTTGTCTGTGGCAATTCACATATTGACACGACCTCCACTCTTGAAACCACTGGGTTGGATCATATTCAGCTTGTGTATATTTTTCAGTAGTGTGTATCGTGGCGGGAATCCCTGTTTGTGAATCTAGAATGTTTTGTCCTGGCAGCAACGAGTATGCTCAGGTGGATAGATGAATAACCAAGCTTCAAGCCGTTCCCAACGAGTAACCTTTTGTCCGTTCACACACATTCTCTGATCTTTGCCTGGTGCACCCAACTAACTGCAGGTGGAACAACCCTGATATTAGGTCGACAAAATGGTACAGTGGTCCCTCCCATCTCCCTCGTAGAAGGGTGAACGAAATACGTGCCTCTGTGCATCAAAGAGCGAGCGGTTTTGCTTCATTCTTCTATCTCTCCATATTGAGTCAAACCGGCATGCTTCTGAGCGTTATCATCGGTTGCTCAACTGGCTAAGCATAATTGCATCGTAGCTGAAGCGAACGAGTGACCCCGTCTTTGTGGGCCTGGGTGCTCGGCCATTGGAGCAAGCCCGTCTCACGTAGGCTGGCGATTGGTGAGAATACTTCGCGTGTGGTTTTGAAGTAGAATTTTTTTGTGCTTCACTTCATCTGCATATATTCGTCTTGGATTTGTATACCCCCAAATTACACTGAGTCTCCTTGACAAGTTAGGTCTTTTTCTGTGTTACACCGAATTATAAATAATGTTCGTTCAGCTGTAACAACCTTCCGGTGCTTGGTCACCTGAAGGAAACAGGACGACAGATAATGTCAGGTGGTCCAAGCCTAGATAGGAGCAGTCGGGATGCGGAGGTTGGGTTCGGATCGCGGCCCTACGGGTAGTAAGTTTGTGCCCCTAACCGCTGAGCCCTCTCGAGCGTTGTTCTGCATCCACATCAGTTATGGTTTTCGTCAGTCTTCCATCAATTGCTCCAACACTCTTGTCTTTTGGTTTCTAACCTGTATTCTTAGTTCAACCAACCTAAATGGCGCACAATACGTTGGAAATCACGAATCTAGAAAGTCTTCGAGACCCATCTGGGATTTTCTCATTGATTGAAGTTGTTGGCAAGGGCACTTATGGGAATGTCTACAAAGGTCGTCATACTCGCACTGGTCAGCTGGCTGCCATCAAAGTCATGCCAATCACGGAAGAGGATGAGGAAGAAATCGTGTTGGAAATTAACACGCTACGAAAGGTCAGTTGTTTATTGTTTTGCATGTTCACTCACCTATATTTTATCCGGATGTGGAGTAATGGTCAGAAACATCCTTGCTGGGGAGCAGCTAACCAACTCAAGGACTGAGCCATCAGGAAACAGTGACATTTGTGGAGGTTGCGTTTTCTCTAGAACCTCGTTGGGAAGTGGCCAGGCGAGCATATCAGTTTTCAAAGAGAGTGCGCCCGAATCGATTCATTTCATCCCAGATAGTTTCAGTTTGCCATCATTCTAGCATCCCGAACCTCTCGGCACTTCATGACTTATCGTCCCAAAAATCGGTCTGAGATGTGCGATTTCCGAACTATTCAGGTGTAATAACGGCAGTGCCACAAATTAGTTCTCTCATTCTGAGCCTTCCAAGCCAGAGTTCTTGTCAAAAGAACCACCACAGGTGTACAACGTGTATTAACGCCAAGAACCAGGTCGAAAGCACTTGTATGTGGCGACAGCATCCTGACGCCTTCCAGCTTTTCCATCGGCAACCTCCATTCGGCACATACTGGGTCATGATCAGCTGTTAAGTGCTCCTTACGTCCAGAACTTAGTTTGGATTTGAACCAATGTTATCCGAACGATAGTTTTCCCTATATATGATACTACATGATGCTTTTCTCCGACACTTTCTGCAGAAACCCATTTTAGCCAATCGAACACGAACTAATTCGGTTCTGCGAGGGACTCATCTGAAACCCAGCTGAATCTCTCGTTTGTGTGATGTTTCCATGAGTGTATTTCGCTAATTTCAAGTGGCGAATTTCAAGTAGAACAGAACGGGAACTCGGGGACTTCGTCTACCTGATTAGCCCGAAATGGAAGGGCAAAACCGGTCGTGGGTTGTCGAAGAGTTTTCCTCAACCTTATGAGTAGTGCAGTACGAAATATCCTCTTTTGAAAAAAAAACATCTGGCGCCCGCTACACTGCACACTACTTTCGAGGTTGCTATAACTCATGACCTTCTTGGGGCTCATAAGGTCCTAGAAAG